TTGGATGACTGATGAGATTCTCGACATGATAGAAAGGAGACAAGAAACCCTGCCAAGATATGGGACAGAGTACAGAAAATTACACAATCAAATAAGGACCAAATACAGGCAAGCTAAAGAATGGTTAAACGAAAAATGCACAGAAATAGAAAGACTGAATACCACCAACAAAAGAGATGTGCACAAAGAAATAAGACAACTAACAGGACAGAAGACATGCTCATCAACAGGCTGTCTAAAATCAAAGGATGGAACACTCATTTAGAGAAGGAAAAAATTCTTCAACGCTGGAGCGAGTATATTGGAGAACTCTTCCATGACGAAAGGGAACAACCAGCAATACAGAGAACTACCAACGGACTTGGAATTCTGAAAACCGAAGCAAAAGCCACACTGGCCAAAGTGAACAGAAACAAGGCAGCGGGGCCAGATGGAATTGTAGCGGAAATGCTGACAGCCTTAGATGAGTTTGGCATAAACAAGATCACCAAATTAACAAATGAAATGTACAACAGTGGGGATATACCAGAAGACCTCAATCTTCATAGCTATGCCTAAGAAACCAGGTGCAAACAAATGTGAGCTCCACTGAACAGTAAGCCTGATTAGCCACATGACAAAACTCATCATCCGTATTCTGTTGAATAGAGCACACAGCAGAATTCACCCAGAAAGAGGACAAGAACAGTGCGGGTTTGTTAAAGACACCAGAACAAGGAATGCGATATTCATGCTCAGAATGTTATCAGAAAGAGAAATTCAAATGCGCAAGGATGTGTACCTATGTTTCATAGACTACACAAAGGCCTTTGACAAAGTACACCACAATGATCTGATGGAACTGATCAGCAACCTTGACATATTTGGGAGGGATATCAGAATAATCAAGAACCTATGCTGGCAGCAAACAGCATGCATACATAACAACATAAGCTACTCAGAGGACACTGTACTGTTTAGTGAATATACAAAAATAGGAAGGGGCATAAGGCAAGGATGCATCTTCACACCCGACCTGTTCAACCTATACACCGAGGCAATTCTGAGAGAATTGGAAAACCCTACTGGGATTTAGCATTGGCAGCCACAATCTTAACATAAGTTATGCAGATGATACAGTACTGATAGCAGACACAGAAGTTGCAAGGAGTTACTAGGAGTGAAAAAAAAAATGTGAAGACTTTTGAAGAAAGAACCATAAACCCTGCCCTAAACAGGAAATGAAGGATAAAACTCTACCCGTTTTCAAAAGATTGGAAAGTAGTGTGAACCGGGCAATAGGTAACTCTATACATGACTTTTTCTATATGTGTAGCTTTAATATTTAATACATGCATTTACCTACATGCAACTTTATATGTCTGTTTATAAATAAGTTGATTTTTTTCCCCTTTACCCAGGTATCAGTTAATGCCTTGGATAAGTCTGGCAGCACACCTGCCCACTGGGCGTCTCATGCTGGACACATACAGTGCCTTCAATCTCTGCTTGCTGTTAATAACATTGAAATCAATGTCCAGGTAAGTTTTATTTTGATATTAATACTTCAGATGAATTAATGGTTCATTAAGGTTCCTCCAATGATCTATCAACACTATATAATGTTTAACAAGAGGTGTTTCTTTTAAAGTTTCTTTATCCACCCTTCATCTTCATGATATTTTTAATATTATGGAAAACAAGAATTGAATTTCATTTTAATTCACACTGATATACAACTTTGATTATTAAATATTTTATGATCTGTGTATTTTATTTATTTAGACAGAAATATTTAAGTAAACGCTCTGTTTATAATTTACCAGAGGACACACATTTTCTATGAAATTTCTCAGACATTCAGGCCAGTAAATATTGTTCATACTGTTTATTATAAACAGAGCATTTACTTAAATATTTGTGTCTATATAAATAACATATTACAAATTCTTGAGAACCGGATTCATGTCTTCATTTCTTGATGTTGATTTCACCTTCCAGGGTTTTGGGAGTCTTTTTCAATCTTTGTACAAATGAAACACAGTGTGGATATTGATTTGTTCGGTGTCAGGGGTGAAAGACAGTGCAAGCAACCTCACTCTCAATTGTATATTTACAGTTTAGCAAGAAAGATCCTGTGTTTTTTTTTATTTTTTTTTATTTTTTTTTTTTTTTTATTAAAATCTGTATTAATTAGAATTAGTTAAGTATTTGGGTTGCAGGAGCCAGAGGAAAAAGTTACAAATGAACATTTTTAGTTTAAGAGAAACATTTTTAAAATCAGAAAGTGATTTCTGGATCATAAATATAGATTATTAATAAAGAGACTTTTGAATAAATTATAAATATTTTTTATTTATTTTCAGAATAGGCTTGGGGACACTCCTTTACACTCAGCTGCATGGAAGGGTCATGTGGAGGCCGTGAAGATGTTAATTGAGAAAGGTCAGTGCTTTTCATTTCTTGTATTCAGTGATTTAGAAAAATATTGTTACAGGATATTTTTCCTTAAGTATTCTTTGCATGTTTTTTTGTGATTATCATTAATGAAAGAGATAATGTGATAGGGTTGTTTTTAAATGTAATAAAAATTCATCATTTTTTTTTTTTTTTTTTTTTTTTTTTTGTTAATACTAAGATCAAATTGATATCTATTTTTATTTTATTTGGGTGTATGGAAAGTATTTTCACGTTTTTAAGCTCCCTGTATGTTTACAATGTTTTTATCTTTTTTTTTTTTTTTTTTTTTTTTTATTTTATGCTCTTCATGCTGTCTCTTTCAATGCCCTTGACTTTTGTGAATGTTTGAGTTCTCCAAGACAGCTTCCCTACCTTGAATTTTAAAGTGTCTTAACTAACAATGGTCATTCAATTCTGGCCTTTATTTCAAGGAACAAGTCATCACCCTTAACTTACCCTGCTAGTGGGAGCCTAGAATATGCCAATTAAATCCCCCTGCAGAGAAGTAAGACCCCTTGAAAAGGGATATGTTATAAAATTAACCAATCCACACTGAAAATGTTTAAACCAGTTTTGGGGCAGTGTAGCCAGATGTGGTTTCATTTGCTACCACTGAATTCTATGAACACAACTGCAAGACTGAAATTTAAAATATTTTGGTTCAGGAATTGGGAGAGTCTCAAAATCCTTACACCTGCCAAAATATAGCATCTGAAACAAAAACTAGAATTCATAAGTAATGAGATGATGACTGTTTTGCCTTTGCTTTGTTTAGTAAGAGTTGCTTCCAAGTTTCAACCAGAGACTTCAAGAGAAAACAAGATCCTCATCAATGATGTCATTATAAAGAGTCTTTAGATGAGTAGTTGAAGCTGTGGTGTAATGGTTTGTGAAGAAAGAAAAAAAAAGTGATAATTCTCTAAGTGATAAATTCAGACAACTAATATATATATATATATATATATATATATATATATATATATAATAATCTTATAAATATAAGTAAGTATACTCGTCTGGAAAAACCTTAGGTGTTTTGGCTTGTAAATGAACAAACTAATACCCAAGGAAAAATAAGGAAAAAAAAGAACTAAGAACATGTAATTCAGGCAAAAACAATTGACCAGAATCCAAGCTCAGTCCAAAGAAAAAAAACCTTCGACACAAGTAAAGTAAAAATAACTAAGCAAAGTGCTCAATGCACTAAGTAGAGCAAATCTAACTACGAACCTAAAGAGCCAGGCAAACCTACTTAGGTACCACCAACGCAGAACTTCAGGGTACTCTGACGATCTGTATTGGTGAAACCTAGGTAGGTTTGCCTGGCACTTTAGGTTCTTGTTATATGACTTTTGTGGGCAAACAAAACTTTTTTTTTTTTTTCATTTGCATTGATTGCATAATATAAGAGAATGAGCCCTCTTCCCATCACAACACATTTAATATCAATATTTTTCTGTGTGTATATGACAAGAATAGAATACGTGGTTTCCCTGAGACTGAATATCATCAAATGGAAATCAAATATTAATCACAGCAGTGTGAAGAGGACAAAATGAAGAAAAGGTGTACATTTTAAAAAGGGGATGTTATGAAATTAACACACAAAGTATTGAAAGCATTAAGATCCATCCTTTTGTACTTTCTTATCACTATTCTTGTGATAAATTTTGCCATTACTAAAGACAGCATTTCTCATCTGGCTTGAAACCAGTATTATTCTTTTCATTTTAGTTAATTATTTTCACTTAATTAGTATAGGTAATTGGAATATTGTAACAAGGATTCAGACATTAATCCTTTTGCAGTAACTGTATCATTTTTTTTTTCCCTTTCGTTCCAGGGGCCTTGACTGACATCAGAAATAAAGATAAAAAGATACCCAGTGATTTGACAACCAACTCAGAAATCTTAGTTCTTTTACAAAATTCAGGTAAGAAGAATTTTGAAATTTCATCCCAATTGTCAACAAAAAAGCATTTTTATTCAGGGATATTTTTTATCCTGATTTTTTTTTTTTTATTATTATTATTTTGTCCTTGTAAATGTACAAGCTTTTTGTTACTATTTTGTATACTTCCATTTTGTAATCACTAGAATTTTTTACAAAATGTTGACACATGCTAAAATCCTCAACATTTAATATTGTTGAAGTTATCACTAGCATTTCATTCAATTTTGCAAACCAATCAATGAAATTTGAATTAGAAGCTGATGTGTCTGGAAAAATACTTTGTGGCTTAATATTTTCTTTAATTTTATAGGACTTCATGGTAAACAATATTTTTGAAGAAAATTTTTTTTTTTCCTTTTTTAACACTGAAGAATAAATTCTTAGGATTTCTTACTCTTGAGCATGCAACATACAACTAGCAATACATAAATATTTCTTTCTAGAGCCAAATTCCAACTATTTGGAGCATTTAACCTTGTGATTTTTTTTTAGTTCTCACAAATGCAGGACAAACTGGAAATTGGATTCTTCTACATAAAATCTTAAAAGATATACAAAAAACAATATTGCATTTTTATTAAATAAGTATTTATTTTAATCATTAAATTGTTTTTAAAATAGTGGGAGTATTTTGTATATTAAATAATAAAACTTAATTTTTCCAAAAATATTAATGAAAAATTATTGTACTAAGCAATGCACCCTAGTAAAACTAACTGTACTTTGTATTCCCCCCCCCCACTTACCTGTTTGCACTTCTCCCCAAAATTTGGTTTTGATCAATCAATGTATGGCTATTTTAGAGTAGGTTTCTCCACTTTTGGCATAAATTTTCGATACCTCAGTTTAAAAATTCTTGCAAAAATCAAATAATTGTCAGATTTTAATGAAACTTTCAGGACTTATTCACAAATGAATGAAATTATTTTTGAAATTTTTTTTTTTTTTTTTTTTTTAACATGTTTCCACCCACTTACATATTTTCATGAAATTTCGAGAAATTAAATCTTCAAGCATGGGATTTGTTTTATTAGTTATAAACAGGACTCTTTGTAGAAAGTAAATCACCAGTTTTTTTTTGTTTTTTTTTTTTTTGTAAAACAGTACCCCATATTATAGAAAATCTGCTCTGAATTATAAAAAAAAAAAATGTAAAAAACTATGACATTAATTAATTAGAAAAGCTTTCACCTGTTTTTATAAATACGTTATACTAAGGACATTATTTTGTGAAGAAATAAAAATTTTTTCAATGAATAATGTATTTTTTACAAATTTTAAAAATTTTTTTCATTAACTTCTTAATACTTCAAAAATCATTTAAAATTCTTTATTGCTTTCAAGCACGTAATGCAATGATAACATTAATAAAAAAGTAAATTTATGAATCGAAATTTGAAAAGCACATAAGTCACTTGACCCCAAATATTTTTTTAAAAATTTTATTGAAAAAAACGATCATAATTTCTACGTATGGAAATGTATACATGACATAATCCTTAAAAAATTTTAAACAATTATCTAATTAATAAAAAACTTTAAATAATTACCTAACTAAGAAAGTATGAAATAAAAAATAGATATTACATAATTGCTGAATAAAAATGTTAATATTTAAAAAGTACTAGTTAAAAACAAAAAACCGCATTTGCTTACTTTGCAAAAATTGTCAATTTTGATCACCCATAGTAATCTGTCATCACCTCGTCACAATTGAGCGTTTTTTTTAATCGTGATATGCTGCTTTTTTAAGTGACCTAATGGAGGAACCTATTTTAGAGGGTGTGAGGGATGGATGGATAGATGGATTAACAGAAGTCACAGAATTTTATATGTAGATGTTTATATAATTAATGTGTGTATAGGTGTATAATTTGGTCACATAGCCAAATGATTATAAAATTTGCTTTCTGATTATGAGACCTGGCTTTGAAACTTACTGGGGTGAATTTGTCAGGAAGCTAACTTTTTGATGTTGATCTAGGGAGACAATCCAAGTATGCAGCATTTTTGGAAAGTGCCTGAAAACCATACCACAGGTTGATCTAAAACCTTTTGTATGAAGATGAGTGGGCAAAAAATGTTTGGAGGTCATCAATGGTTATATAGGCACAAAGTTACAACTCCTCATGCCCAGGAATATGGAGGTGGTGTAATGAATAGTGGCTCAAAATGAGATATTGGAGAGCTGTTCAAATTTCAGTTGAGTTCCTAACATTCACTTATGTGCAAATATACTTAAGGAAATGTATGAAGCCATCTCCTCCCCAGCTATGGGTTAAATAATAGGGCCTTGTATCTGGAAAAATCATTGCTATTCTTAAAAAAAAATTAAATTATTTTTACAACCCAAAATATGCTTTGGCTTTAAATAATCCACAAAGCTTTGTAAAAATAAGCTGTAAAAGATAACTTAATCCATCAACATAGTGACTGAGAGTTTGAGAGTACAAGCCTCATTCAAACTGCTGATTATGCAAGATTAACTGCACTCTCCCTGTGACTAACGCCTGCTCAGCTTAGTTGCATTGACCACAGGTGGCCTCTCTGAGTGTTGTACAAACACAAATGTGCCTGAACAGGCGTCTACAACAGGGATTGGCTAAATGTCCTAACAGACGAGCATGCTTGGAAATGAGTAGCTGGCCTTTATTATAAGTAATTTTATAATTGCATTGTACTTATAAAATATTAAGAACTTTGTTTCATTTTCTTTTCTATATCCCTTATTAAATGAAAGAAGAAAAATTCTATTTACCATTGAATAATTATGATTTCACTGTCACCAAAAGAACCCATTCTACATCACAATAAGTCAATGCATATAGATGTAGATTCTTCTGTTTTTCCTCCGCTCTGTGTGTGTGTGTGTGTGTGACAAACATCCAGGGGAAAAAGAAAGCATATAGTTACACTGCAGCTCAACACATTTTGTTTCTCAAATTTCTGATGTTAGGCCATTGAAATACTGATTTTTTTTTTTTTTTTTTTTTTTTTAAGAAACAGGTCAGACTTAGAACTTTCAGATCTTACTCATCATACCAGCATTACTTTTGTTCATATTTTATTCTGCATAATTTTAAGCTGGAAAACATGCACTTTTTCTTGGGAACTGTCAATTTTATATCAAACTATATCACCCATGTAAATTTAAGATAAATATTTTTAGAAATATATAAAGAAATTCTGGAATTTATTATATATTAGTCCAAATAGCTTTTATATTTTGTCTGTGTTTTGCCTCTTTATAATAGGCATCTTTAGGTTTGAACAAGAGACAAAACCATGTGTAAGGAAAATCCCCCCCCCAATCAACAAATTTTGATGGCTTCAAATAAAGAAGAAAAAAAGACTTTCTAACCAGAACTTCTGATAAGGATCTTTTTATTACCATTTCCCCATATTCCAATGCACTTTTCTTTACACGCGAGTTAGCCTGAAGGCATCTTAATATAGAAGCAAAACACATAGTCCGAATAGCTTTTCCACATTTGTTGGGATATCATCCTACATACTATTAACACCCTTACATATTACATACATAATAATAACAGCTGGCCACTCAATATTCGAGAATACCCATCTACTAGGGTGTCTAGCCAATCCCTATTGCAGACTCTCAATCAGGCACATTTGAGTTTGTTCAACACCCATAGAGCCAACCTGTGGTTTATACTGCAACTATGCTGAGCAGACCTTGGTTACAATTTCTGGGAGAGAGCATGTTATCTAGAATGATCAACAATCTGAACAACATCAGCACACTCAAACCCTTGGTCACGATGACTTGTGACTTTGTGCTAGCACAGCTATCAACGGGCCCCAAGTGTTTCATCTACCCAAAGGTGCCACACGCTGGGATCATCCCCACTCCAGACTGATAACATAAGGAAGACTCCTTACTGACAAATCGCCAACAGTGAGATTCGAACCCAAGTCTCATAATCAGAAAGTGAACATTCTAACCACTCAGCCACACGCTCATATAATACATACACACATACAAATGAAAACCCTATTTTGAATTCCATATTTTTTTTAGATAGGTATTCTATATATTCTCATACAAATACCAATTTAGATATAAGTGTACATGTGATGATTCAAGGTGGCATTGTGGTTAACATGGAAAACAGAATCGGCAAACTAGATTAAATCTCTGGTTGTATTCACACTCACATCTCTACTACTTTCTGCACTGTCTAATAACTTTACAAAACTTTTTGTCACTTTCATACAATGTTGACTGACAAAAAAAAACAAACCACTCTTCCATAAACACAGGTTCTACTTTTTTTAATTATGCAACCTTGACAATTGCATGATTACATAAAATTCCAGAAAATATTTTTACTCTATCCTTTTTGCAATTTTAAATATTGATCATTTAATTTAGTAAAGGTCACTAATGTTTTTCATACAATTACGTCAAATGTTTTAGTGTTTATAGGTAGATCTTAACTAGTTTTCTAATTGTGTGGAAAATAAAAAAAAATATTTTTTATATAAATTATAATAAATGAAAATTTCTATACAATTTTTCTTTTTTAATCATTTTATCTCAAGCTACTAAGATGCAGGTGTTACTGAGTGTGAAAGAGAATGAGCTTTTAAAAACATTATTAAAGAGTGAGAACAAAAAAAAAAAAAAAGGAATTAAGAAACCAATAATTGACATTGCATTTTTGAAGATCAAATTTGACCTGAAAGCTAGACAGTTCCACAAACAAGAAAAACTGTTAGCATAGAACTTACGGTTACATCTAGCCATTTCAACTGTAAAATGATCTTGCTGTCAATCTAGTAGTGTGCTTAAATTCATAAAGTCTTGGTATGATAGAGGAAAGTTCACCAGAACAATTACCTTGAAAGTATTTATAGAAAAAGCACAGTGAAACTTCATTATGACTGGAAAAGTGACTGAAGCCAAGATGCCAGGTCAGGATCAATGACATTGCAGATTCTTCTTTGGATTTCACATATATACAATTGTATGCCAAAATAAACATTCTAAGTTATCAACATTTAGTGTTCTTTGACCTGGTTTTAAATTGCACTCATTGTATTTATTATTATTAAAAAAAAAAGTTTTAACAAGTCTGTTTCTAATTCAGTAAATCACCTTTGAATAAATTTCAGAACAAATTTTAATGGTAGATCCAGAAGCTAATGGCAACAAATTCCAAATATGCCAGATTATGGAAACTACCAGACTACGGATTTGCCAAGTTAAAGGAATATAATACTTTACATGCCCAAACATTTTTCCGCTGTTATCTCCATAGTGAATCTTGACAGTACTCATCCTATGAATGTTAAACATTCATTAGGTTGTTTTTTTTTTTGGTTTTTTTTTTTAGTCTAAAATATTTTCAGCTTTTTCTTTTCCTCGTTTCCAAAAATGATCGATTTTACTTTTTAGAGAATTGCTAATTCAAATCTGGGAAAAAAAAGTAACCATATAAAATTGTCAGGTTTTGTGGGGGTTTTTTTTTTTGTTCCTATTCTTTATCCATTTTCTTCTTTCTTTTTTTTTTTTTTTCTCCAGATAATTGCCAAGATGCTGATGATTACTTGAATGATACAGAAGAATCTGATTCCGACTAGAAAGACTGAGCGCCTTTCAGAAATTAATGCCTATGGTTGGGTGTTTGCATGAAAAACAAGACAAATCTGTCTTGGCACAAATTTGATATAATTTATGTAGCAGATCAAAGGGCGATAACTCATAACAAAAAAAGCATTTATATATCTTATTTTCTCCGGTTTGCCTGAAAAAGTAGAGAAGCGCCTGGTTTATATTTATTCTACTTTATATAAAAATTAAAGAGAAAAAAAAGCTTTTTTATTTGTTTTAAGCTTAGATTAATATATTTTCTGTATAGTTAATAAGTCCGCTGTTACTCATCCACATCCAAATGTTGTCTTTTTATTTTTTTGTTCTCAAATTCATGCTCTTTGTTTCTTTTTTTTTTTTTTTCTCCCTCTAAAGATTTTTAAAATTTAACATTTCACAGCCTGAAACTCCATATTTTATAATTGTATATCTATTCATTCTCTCAGTGGATTTCAGTTGAATGGCACATCAGTTATATGGAATAGCAAGTGTGCAAAAAGAAAATCAAATGCATTGCAATACTTTGTCCTTTTTATACACACCTATTTTCCACTGTAATATAAACACATACATGCACAAGAGAAAATGTGACTTTACTGTTGCATCTCCAAATAATTGTTTATAGTGTTGACAAAATGACATTTGTAATTTTAGAGAATTTATCTCACATTTTTATTTCTACAAAATTTGGGCACATTTTATATTGTTTTAAAGTTGTCTCCATTGCATCCTATAATCATAGGAAACGTCTATATATATATATATATATATATATATATATATATATATATATATATATATAATGAATGATGCATTCTGTGGAGGAGGGTGTATTCAACAAAAAAGTTTTTTTTTTTTACTGCAAATTATTCATTACATCATATCCAAATATTTTACAAAAATTAGAGCTGATTACACAATATTTCAAGCTCAATTTAAAGTTTAGTTACAAACTAAACTTTAAATTGAGCTTGAAATGCAATGAGATGAAGTAACATAAACCATAGTTTTGTCTGTAGTATATCATTACATTATTGTTACATAATTATAGCAAAGTCATTAAGGTAAAAAATAAAGTGCTTTTAACAAAGTTAAACGCACTTTATTTTTGGTCATATATTAATTTAAAATATTCCTTTTTACAGGCTTTATTTTTGAAATGGAATAAGATTATTCTAAATTTCACTATTGCCCATCAAACTGACTGGAAGAAAGCAATCTAAAAACAACAATGGAAAATAGCTCCAGTTTGTTCAACTTAGCATTGCAGCCAAAGTATTCTAAAAATGCTGCTGATAACAAAGGAGAAAATAAAAAAATACCTAACAACAAATCGAAAATAGCATCAAAATTTATATTATTTTTATTTATTTGTTATGTAACTAAATACATAACTGTCAACAGTGTTCCCGTAAAACTTGTAATAAATTCTTAATAAATATTATTATTTTACTTAAGTGTAAGGTAGTCCTACTTTTACAATTCTTTACAGCTTACCATGAAAAGAAATGTTGACCAAAACTGCCTAAAACTTTTGGGCATGTATTGCCATCAAATGTTGAATACACCCCTCCTCTGTTGAACGCGTCAAATATTTTATATTTTTCAGAGGTAAAGAAATAAAACCCTTTCTGCTTCTGGTAACTAGAATTATACATAACAACTCTGTTAATGGTTGCTGAATTTATTTTCTGTTTAGGGGAGGGTTAGGGTCCTTCCCATTTCCTTCTTTCTTTGCTTTTAGCAAACAATTGAGCCAAAGTCTAGTAAAAAAACAAAAAAAAAGAATTACTTTCCATCAATTTTAAAAAATCTGAAACTGTAGCACATACTGAATATATATATATATATATATATATATATATATATATATATATATATAAAAAACTGACATATTTGAAAAATCTAATTAACAAAATAGAACAACTATGGTATTAAAAAAAAAGTCAAATGATGAATAGATATGTTCTTACCATAAATATTAGTAAAAGAATTGAAAAAAAAAAAAAAAGTCTGCTGAGGTTGGGGGTCATTAACACTGAAAATTTTAATCTTTTCAGTTTCTCCTTGGCTTATTCCAAATTTCTAACATCACTTTCTCTTATACTCTGAGATTATTGTTAATTAATACTTATGAATTGTTCATAAGCAAAACGACAGAATACCCAGTATTTTCTATTGAATAAATGAAAAATGATTTTCCTTTAAAATTTGTTATAAAGATTTTCTTTTATAGAAGATGTGACCTGAAGCCTTAAAATATTTTTTTTTTTTTTCAAAGGCAATATTTTCCTACTCTTGTTTGAAAATAATGAACATTTACATTTCAAACTTTTTTTTTTTTTACTAAATAAGTGCCTTTTATTTAACTTAAATCTCAACGTACCATCATTACCAATTGCTGTGAAAGAGCGAGTGGGTATTTTTTTTTCTCTCCCTTTATTTTATTCAATGTTGTTGCTGTTTTCTAAGGGGCCGATAACTCTTCAACAGCAAATAAAATTAAACATTGAAAAAGCTTCCAATGAGATTTGAATTCACATTTCGCCTCTAAAAAGTTTCAATGATTAAATGGAGCAAAAATCCTTTTGCTTTAACTTCCTTCTTTGGTATCAAGTTAAAAGAAGAAAAAATAATAGTGGTGTAGTATTTAAGTCAGTTTTATATAACATGAGTGAAAAGACTTATTCCATTTATTATTGTTGCCTTTTATCAATGATCATGATGCAAACAACTTAAAATCAAAAATACTTAATAAAATAACAGTAATTTTATTTTGGAAAAAAAAAAAAGCAACAATAAGATGGAATGGAACTGGTAATAAAATAGTTCAAAATGCTTCCTGAAAATGTTTTCCTGGTCAGTGACAATCAGCTATATTTTTTTTTTCTCTGCCCATAATAAAGATGATTGCCAAAACTTAAAAGAAATTTTAAGTTAAAACATTTAAAAATTTTGTATTTAATCATCAAAACTTTTTCACTATTGACAAAAATGTTTTGTTAATGCAAAAAATAATTAAAATTAATCGACATAGTAATAGTACAAGAAAAGCAAAATTGTGTGAATAGAATGAAAAGTTTTGTGACATTGTGGATTATTGAAACTAGTTAGAACATAAAGCTTCAACAACGGCTGATACAAGAGAATTGTTCAGGATTCAATTAGTGTGTAAATTTATAAAATGAATCCAAAGAATTAATTTGAGATTTATACACAATCTCTTAACTACCATATTTATTGTATAACACTTTCATTACTAGATTACCCCTAAAACTTTGTTTGACACAATCATCCCCTACTGAAATACAAATGATTATAAATAATTTATTTTTGATTTGTAGTCCTAATTTAATATTAAAATATAAAGAAATTGATTTTAATGTAGCAGCAGTTGAATATTCTTAGCTTTTTTTTTTTTTTGTTCCCCCCTCCCAATTTTTAACAGATTATAGAGGGGGAGGGGGGATAAATACATATCTATCTTTCTTTTTCCTCCATAAATATTCTAAGCAATTCTAAGCATTTATTATAAACAGCTTATATCTGCATAATAATTGGCTTGGTTTTTAACCACACAATGCTTAGAATCTTTTAAGCATTTATTAAACTTAACACAAGTGTAAAGCCCCAATGAGGATCAAACTCATCCAATATTTAGTCTTAGAGATTTGATAGCTAACATTCCATAGCAAAGTATCCAAATATTTGATTACTAAGCTTATCACAGTTGTGCAGATTGAACTCACTACTGTATGAATATTGGTAAAAAAATAAAATAAAATAAAATAAATCTTTCATATCACTTTAGAAAGGATATTTCAGAAACAAAAGTTTAATCTGAGATGGGTTTTTTTTTTTTTCTTCTTTCTTTTCCTCCAGGGTTTGATTTCTGGACTACTATATATATATATATATATATATATATATATATATATAGTGTATATCAAGTTGGACTTTGTATTAAAAAAAAAAAAATTTAAATTCTAAGTCCATTCTTATACAGGATGAGGTTTTATTTTTTGACATTCCAAATGGAAAAGTCTTCATTTATTGTTTCTTAAGAGAAATAAAACTCTTCTCAAAATATCTTGTTTGTTTATTCATTTTTATTTGCCTGATTTCATTGGAAACAATTTATCTTAGCAGGTATCAAATGATTTTTTTTTTTTTTTTTTTAATTTCAACATTTCTTTGCTAGAATAATATTGTCAGTTTATTTTTGCAAGTGTTTATTGTAGTACCACATTGACCCAATTATGATATTTTGGGAGGTGTTGAAAAGTTCTTGCCTATACTAAAAAAAAAAAATCCTTTTGAGAAGTAGGTTGAACTGAGAACCTTTCAGCTCCCACTCATAGTAATTCAATTCTTCTTCAATATAGTTTCCCCTCCCCATGTGGCCAATATTAAAAAAAAAAAGAAAAATATAAAGATTTTTTTTTTTTTTTTTAATTCAAAATCAGTTGCCACATTTTTTTGTATTAACTATTTAAATTCTTTTTTCATAGGACAGTTATGTAAAAAAATATGGTTAACATTTGGCAAATGGAATGACAGTGAAGGAGAAAAAAGTGTGGTGGGGGGAATAATAAGTTCCATGTATATCACAGCCTTTTCATATTAAAGAAATATGACTTCAAAAATAGAAGTGACAATTCTGATAACACTTAAACTGTAGAAGTTCCTAAAGCAACAGCAAAAATATTCAACAATAAACAACAAATATCTGGCTTGAAAAATAATTCATATATCAAATATATTATATATATTCAAATATCAAATTAATGGGGAGAGGCTCAATGTTCCCTTTTTTTCCATATAAGAAAGTATTTATATAGCTTATAGATTTTGGCATTACAGCAATAAAATTAATGAAATTTAAAACATTCAAATCTAATATTGAGAACCATTAAACATCTTTGGCCTTTTCAAATGTTACTGATAAAATAGTCACTAATCTGTATGCAAGAATAATTATACAAATGTT